ATCACATTGCCCACACAAACTAAAATTCAGAATAAGAACATATATCTCTGACATCAGCATCCTGGGGACAACTGTTATTTACATAAGCAACAATATCCCGTACAGTACTTCCAATATAGGTTAACAAATCTAAAATAGTAGATGGGTCTACAAAGAAAAACTTAGAAGGTAAAAATGCGCCACTGAAAGAAAAATCCATCCTACAAGTTCAGACACGTTCAACATAACGTCACTGTTTGAATTATCTATAAGGCAGTTGTGACAAAAGGAATCTGATTATCTGGTCCTCTTTTGTTCTAAAAGTTACAAAGACCTAGTTGTCCAAGATCCATTGCAGTTGATCGATTTTATTCAGAACATAATAGGCCTGCTTACATTATAGGTAAAGTCAAAGTTAGGGTTATGGAATTTGCTAGGGCATTTTAAATTAGGTTGTTGTCATGTTTAATTGGGGTTAAAACAAAACAATCCGAATATACATAAAGAATCAAATGGTCCACAACCAACTAAAAAGCAGAAAAAGAACCAGCATACAGCTCTGTTTACCTTCACCTTGGAGCCATGAGTGATGCTGTGACAACATTTATTACGTAAGAAATTTTATTCCTAAAATTCCAATATAGGTTAACAAATTTAAAATGACAGATGGTCTAAAAAGAAAAAATAGAATAGAAGGGAAAGATGGGCTCTGAAAAATCTATTCTTACAAGTTCAGACACGTTCAACATGACGTCACTGTTTGAATTATCTATTCAAACAAAGGATTAAACAATAGCTGGTCATCGCTTTTCAAAAGCTACAAGGACTTAAGAAAGTATAATACATACTCCAAGTATTGAAATACACGCCATCGTGTTGGGATTCAATATTTCGACATTAATTATGTCATCATCAGGAATGAGGTCTTGTGAGGTCTAAACAAGGACTTGTCTAGAACTATTGCAGTTGATCGATTTTATTCGGAACATATTTGACCTACAATTACATCACATTATAGGGTGAAATCAAAGTGAGGGTTATGATATAGGTAAGGATATTTAAATGTAGGTGGTAGCTACGTTTGTATTGATTGAAGTAAAATAGAATAGGGTTAAACACCCTGTAAAATGGTATAGGTTTAGGGTTATACACCCTTGGTCTAAAAATGAAATAGGTTTAGAGTTAAGCACCCCTGCTCTAAAACTGACATTATGGTTGAGGTTATTGGTCTAAAAATAAAATAGGGCAAAGGTTAAGCACCCCTGCTATAAAAAATGAAAGAGGGTTAGAGTAAAGCCCCCCTGCTCATTATTGGAATAGGGTTAGGGTTAACTAGCACCCCTGTTCCTAAATGGAATAGGTTAGGGTTAAGCACCCCTGCTGTAAAAATGGAATAAGTTTAGGGTTAAACACCCTGTTCTATTAAACACACCCCTACACATAAATGAAATATGGTTAGGGTTAAGCACCCCTGCTCCTAAATGATATAGGTTTAGGGATAAACACGCCTGCTCTATTAAAAACACCCCAACTCATAAATGAAATAGGGTTAGGGTTAACCATCTTTCGTAAAAAATAATGCTATAAAAATGAAACAAGGTTAGGGTTAAGCACCCCTGCTCCTAAATGGTATAGGTTTAGGGATAAGCACCCCTGCTCTATTAAAAATACCCCTACTCATAAATGGAATAGGGTTAGGGTTAACAAGCACCCCTGCTCATAAATGGAATAGGTATAGGGTTAAGCACCCCCACTGTAAAAATGGAATAGGTTTAGGGTTAAACGTCCCTGCTCTATTAAATACACCCCTACTCAGAAATGGAATAGTCCTGCTCCTCATTTTACGTCACGTGATGCCAAATGCAGGCTTCTGATTGGTCGAGAGCCTCCCAAATAAGGAAAAATTTTCCTGGTCAGACTATATGCACTACAATCAACACTTGTTATCATCATCAAATATGATCATCATTAAACGTTGATTACTCCTGGAAGTCAAAATAAGACGTTATAGTCTGTTACAGGTATATATGAGGCTCCTCCTTAAATAGTTACGAAGGTTCCGATTATCAGTAATATTCATTACTAGCCTAGGCCATTAATGGGTACGGTAGGGAGTAAAAAGATGCACTTAAACCGATGAATTTTCTGAAAACGTGAATAATTAGTAATACTTAGTCCTACAATTTTCTTTCCTTAGATTCAAAATACGGCTCCTGAAAATTTAAAACATCGGATCGTTCAGGGAATATTTACTCTCAGCACACCTTCCCAGGGGTGGCTCCAGGATTTGCCCGACGGGGGGACCAACCCCGAAAATTTTGACAATTTAGGGGTTTCAAAGGCTTATTTATTCGATTCTATAGTCTACTAATATGTAGAAAATACATATAATTTTTTTCCTCCCCGACGAATTTGTCTAAACATAAACATTAAACATAATCTATGCCTCTTATGAGAAGTGGTACAATAATCAAAGTTAAAAAAAAGTAATCAAAAGATCATAATTTGTTCCTGAACCAGTTTTAATTCTCATTATCTAAAAGCAACACCTCTCTGATCATCGCATATCAGTAATATTACTGTTTTAAGAGAACCTACACTAATAATAGGCCTAATAATAATAATAATAAATAAATAATAATAATAATAATATGTCGCTCTTATATAGCGCTTCATGCACTATGCCTATAAGCGTTTCACATTACCACCCCGGTCATCGGATCAAACACCTATGGAACACATACCGTACTCAGCTCCCTGGGGAGAATTCCATAATATTGCAGCTAGTAATCAGCGCAGATGTGTTCGAACCTACCAGGTACCCACTTGTACTCCTGGGTGGAGAGAGGCAACCGTGATAAAGTACCTTGCCCAAGGACACAAGTGATTTGCACAGCGAGAGCTTCGAATCCCCGATACATAACAATAACATAATAATAAATAATATTAATATTTTTTATTATAATAACAACAAAAACAATAATAATAATAATAATAATCTAATGTCTGTAATTCGGCATATTGTAATTTCTTTGATTTATTTGGCTTCAAAATACAACATCAATGATCTGTCATTAACCAGACCAAAATATAATTTCTCCATTGGAAAAGTATCTTCTTACGAGTCAGCTTTATGTAATTTCATTGATGTCAACAAAACTATGATGGAACACTCGGGCACAAGCAGCTTTTGAATGCTAAATTTGACATAGCATCAAATTTAAGCTGATGATTTGAAGTAGACGGCATCTCAACTGGAAGTGTATCGTGTGGTACTTTTGGGTGTAGTATCATGCTAGGGCAAAGTGACGCTTGTGAATCGACAGAAACAATATTTTTGTCTTGAAGCCTGTCGATGATGTGACTGACAACATCGGTAGTATCAGTACAGCCCTGTTTTGTACAATCGACTTCTATCCAAGATTGGTTTCTCATACGTCGAAACGTTTCAAAAATCCTAAAGAAAAGAAATTGCAAATCATTAGGTGATATTAATCAAGATATGACAGTATCATTATAATATTTTATTATAGCGAATACATGACCAAAACTGACCATGTAGATAGTATCTAATTTAGTTATATTTATTACAAGAGACACTGACGTTACAACTTAGGCAGCAGGCAACATGGCCGGCGGCAAATAATCATATTTATTATAGCGTAGTAGTACATAACCAAAACTGACCATGTAGATTGAAAAACACAGTATTTATTTAATTCCATTTATGTGCGGCCACTTTTTTGTCCACTATGTGTGAGCCCTCAAGTTGTAAGAAGTGACAGAGACTAGTGGTTTGTACACTAATAACTAACTTACATGTTCTCGTATGCAATTTTACCCCTCTTAGGACCGTTTTTCTTCATTTCTCGTAGTTTTTTCCTGCAACTCACTAGAACAACAGTGGTAGGTTGTGGTAAATCAACAGGCCAATCATATATCGTGTGATTCTTCGGAGGTAAATTGCCGATACCATCTCCTACTTCGTTGACGATACCATGTGCGACTGTGCTATTCCAATACCTTCAAAGAAACATTTTTGCCAATAAAATTATTGACAATAGACATTTTTAATCGATTTCAGGATCCATTATCCATAAATATTATATGTCCTATTTCCAGTTTACCGTAATTTTAATTTGAAAATCGGAAGCTTTGGAATTCAAGACTTGCGGACTGATATTTCTAAATGTAAATGATATTTATTAAACTTGCACAAATTAAACTATTATTCTATAGTACATAATTGAGCAATGTCCAGTGGAGGTTCAAAGACACTGAGTACCCCTACATTTGCATGTTGGCCTATACAGCCTATTATGATCTACTCAAAGCTCAGTTTATCAGGGGCGCAGCCAGGGTAAAATTTGAGTGGGGGTCAAGCCTTGCGAACGCAGCGAGCAACTAGACTGGGGCCAGGGGTCTGACAAGGGCCCCCGGTCTGCGTCCAGGGGCTGAAGGTCCAGAACGTTTGCGTTATTTTACATGATGAAAGGTAGAATTCAGAGGTTTTGCCATGTTAGCCTGAAAGCAATGTGTAAACAAGAAAATTAATTTGGTGTGATATTTTACTCTTTCCCATGGTTCCAAAAAACAAAGGATAATGATTTTATACCGTAATAATAAAACTCCGATGACGGCCTATTTTTAAATAGCCTAGGTCTTAAAAGCAGGCATGTTGCTTTATTACCTACTGCATTTTTTTTTTTTTGACTTGAGAAAGCATAGGCCTAGGCCTATTTATCTTATTATTGCTTTTATATTATTATCTCTTAATAGGGAGACCTTTACTGTAGGTATTATGCATTTTGACCCCAAGTTTGCGTAAAGTTCGCACATTGTAGAGTACTGGTAAATATGTCTTGCATTGTTTATGTTGCCAGGCATGCTATATTAAATCAAATGAGTGAACGTTTGTTTATTTTTTTCCAACATTTTTCTATCCCAAACTTTGGCATTGAATCCTTTGAGGTGTTGTCCGAACAGTTCAACGCTTGATCTTAAGTTGAACAATATAACTATTCATATTATTAATAGGTACACATACCTATCTACAAGAACGGGCAAGGTCTGGGGATGCGTAAATAGTTCCTGTCCCAGTATATAATTACTAATAGCATAAAATGCCCCACGTATTAACTGGGGTTGAGAGTCGAAAACTTTCTTCAGGTGTCGAATACAAACAGGAACAGAATGTAAGTATGTTGCCCCCAATGAAGAACTCAGCCGGCTGCACACTGACTCCATCCCTTAAAAAGTAATAATAATAAGCCTAATAATAATAATAATAATAATAGAAGTATTGTTAATAGTTATAATAATAAGCCTAATAATAATAATTAATAATTATAATTAATAATAATATTCATAATATTAATAATAATAACGTTGGTGTTGATGATGATGATAATGATGAGGGTGATGATGATGATGATGATAACAACAACAACAACAACAACAACAACAACAACAATAATAATAATAATAATAATAGTAATAATAATAATAATAATAATAATAATAACAATAATAAGATGATGATAATAGTAAGTGTAAAAAAAAAATTAACATTAAAGAAAATTTTGGTGGAGGAGGAGGAGGAGTGGGAAGGTTTTTTAATATGAATGATTCTTGGTTGAGGATATCTACTTAACCATAATTTTTTTATTTGTCGAAACGGTTACATAGAAAATAAAATGATAAAAATATATAAGTATGCAGCTGATGTATAAAATAGTATAAAGGGTAACAGTATTACAGGCTTGAGAAACTGATAAGGGAGATGTTACATGCATGTATTGATATGGTCGTCATTGAATCTCTTTATTCTTCCCTCCCCCTTCCTGCTTGATCTGGATTTAGTTTGATTTAACAATGCAAGATACACCCATATCTGCATACAGTGTAGATGAGGGGACAGGAGATAGTTGATAGGGTCATTTCCCCAAATAAAATCGTCATGTGAATGTATACTTTGAAAATTCTGAATAAAAAAAAAATAAATAAAAAAAAAATAATAAGTGAAATTTGTACAATACCTTTCAATTTAGGTCCTTCAATCACAATGATAGGAGGCATCTTTTGGTTGTTAAAAACAGTTTTGACATCATTTCTACCAATTGAGGACACAACTGACAATAATTCATCTACGGCAGAGCAAGATCGCCACTAAAATAATGTAAAATTATTATTATTTGAAGTAGCTCCATAAACATAATTATGTTGTTAGTGATGGAAAAGAGCCGTCAACATTTAATTAGAGGCTAAGAGTAAAGCTGGGCAATCACTGCGTCATACTGAAATTGAGCTTGGCAGTTATTAGCCCCTCCAGGAGGTAATGCAAAATATGATGCACAATTAAATTTGAAAACTAACACTTCAAGTCCACTTTAGGCTATAAGTTTAGGGTTTAATAATGAGGTCAATAAATTTATTAATTTTCTAAGATATGTGTCAACACACTACCTTACAAACTGGTCCCTGAAAAATAATCCTCTGCAAAGTCTCCCTCTACTTTTAACAAACTCTCCCAACAAACTTGCCTTTTTATAAAATAGAATGTAATCTGCCTCATTGGTTACAAATACATAGACCTAATTATCTATTTTTATATTCCGTTTTTAATTAT